CACCTGTCACACATATGAGCATTTCAAAGGTACGGATATCGTCATTTATACATTATTTATCGATATTGTAAATGCGTCATATTGTGATTATAAGTATTAAAAATATATTAAAAATTTTGTTGCCGTCAATCACAAATATAATATTGTTAAAAGATTAAAACATCAATTAACGTTCCCCTTCGAGTACTCGATTACATAGCCATCAACAGGTGTTATGTAGTTAAAACTTATTACTGAAATATTGAATTTTATTGTTTTTTATAATTTATATTCTTCATTTTCTGATGATGTTCTTCTTGTTCTTTATATTAAAATATTGACGATACTACAAAATACAAAATACAAACCTAATAACAGTGACCTGTTGATAATACAACGCAACGAAGAAATATATAAAGAACAAGAAGAACATCATCAGAAAATGAAGAATATAAATTATAAAAAACAATAAAATTCAATATTTCAGTAATAAGTTTTAACTACATAACACCTGTTGATGGCTATGTAATCGAGTACTCGAAGGGGAACGTTAATTGATGTTTTAATCTTTTAACAATATTATATTTGTGATTGACGGAAATAAAATTTTTAATATATTTTAATATTATTTATCGAGTATCAAAGAATAATCTTCTTATAAGTTTATTTATTAATTAGTTTCTTAGTAGTGTCCCTTCCTGCGTGTCTTATGGAAATTATTCTCCACCCTGCAGACCATTCATATTTTGGATATTTACGTACTTTAAATTTACTTCCAGTACCTGTAAACGAATTCGTAAAGAATTACAGCGCGCCTTTATAAATAAAGTCAACTTGCATAAAAACACAAACACCCGACCCGATAAAACGTATCCAACACCCTTCATCACAACTAACCCCTTGGGCATTGGGGAGATGAGAAATCAGTATAGAGTTTTGCGTTGTAAACTCTTAAGAGACGACAGCATTCGGAAAACCTCGACACAGATGGTAGGATAATATTAAATGGATTTCAGGGGTGGTGGTATGAATTGGTGTAATCTGGCTCGGATAGCCTTAATAACGCGCTGCTGTAAGCAAGCTAATTAACCTCCGAGTTCCAGAGTACGGTAAATTTCTTGAAGAGCTGAGCAACTGCCAGCTTCTCAAGAACAAATCTTAGTCAATGGTATTATTTAAGAGTTATAGCAACATGCCTTGTTATGAATTCCAGATGGCGTCTCTCCCCGTGAAGAAATTTCTTCATCTGGTGTTAATAGGGATGTTAATTGTCATCGGTCCTGCGAGAGGACGCGTCCTTCTGACTGAGGAACAGAACCACATGGCTTTGTGCGTAGAGGCGATCGCCCAAAAGTATTTTTCCGATGGACGATCCCTTCTGTTCTCCGTGCCCAGAGACGTACGTGAGGTCACCGGACGCCCCCGGGTTCAACTTTCGTACGGCGATGACCTTGATCTGGTGAACTCGGTGCTGCAAAAAATAAACGAGAACATGAGTTGCCCAGTGCAGTTTCCCTCAGACGCCGAGGTAACAATGACAGCCGAGACGAATTACAACTACATCATTTTCATCTGGCGAGAACAGGAACACGAGAACGTCATAGATTGTCTTCGAAGACAACTGGACACGCTGAGTGACAGCGAGATTCAGCAATGGAATCCGCGAGGGAGATTCGTTGTCGTGGTAACTGATCACAACAGCGGTACTCCCCGGTCCCTTGCTCATGAAATATATGAAACGATGTGGGAGGAACACAGTATCTTCGACAATGTTGTTATAATATCAAATTCTGAAAGAAATCACCTCCAGAAACAAATGAGAAACCTGTCTTCGGAAGGGGCGATATTTGATTTGTTCTCTGGATTCCCATATCAAAGAGGAAACTGCGGTAAAGTGAATGAAGTTACTCTGATGGATCAATGCATTGTTCAAAGCAACGTCACATTTCCTAGCAGAGCGAATCTGTTCCCTCCAAAAATACCTAAAGATTTCCAGAACTGCGTCATCAGAGTAGCGACCATTGGAATCGAGCCCTTTGTGATTCTGAATAAAAACCACACGCGAAAAGATGGCACCACCGAGTACGACGTCCGTGGTTTCTCGGTCGAGTTCTTCCTCCTCTCGGCAAGGAAAATGAACATGACCGTCGTGTTCCTTCCACCTGTGTTAGAAATTACTTTTCAGGGTGGCTGGACCGTAATGGAGAACCTGGTTGGCGGTTCGGCTGAAGTCATCGTCGGCTTAGTTCCAATGCTTCCAATAATCATAACACCAGATTCTGAGCCGTCAATACCTTACATACATGGCACGATAAAATGGTTAGTTCCTTGTCCACAAGCTATGCCAAGGGTTGAGAAAATCATTACCATGTTCGATGCATCTGTCTGGTTGGCAATAACACTTTGTTTTGTTTTGACGTCAGTAGTGTTTTGGTGTTTGGCAAGCATTTCAGACAGCTTGGCCATGAAGGAGTCTAACACATTACAGACAATCACCAGCTGTATGTACAGTACTTGGGCAATTTTCGTCGGGATATCTGTTACAGAGATGCCTAAAACTTGGAAAACCAGGGTTTTCTTCGTCTTTTATGTGTGTTACTGTTTTGCTATTAACACAGTTTTCCAAGCTTTTTTCGTATCATATCTTGTCGAGCCAGGGTACGAAGATAGGATAGAGACGTTTGATGAACTCGTGGAGTCAAACGTATCCTACGGATTCAACTCGGCCATGGAGACGGGAATATTGACTACGGATTACACCGAACAGATTAAGTTGTTTGCGTCACGACGTATAGACTGCAGTGATATGGAGAACTGCATAAAGCGAATACTACAAGATCACGATATCGCTACTATAGCTGTCCCTACGTATGCCAAATACGTGGCAAATAAATTCGGGACTGAAGGTAAAACGGATGCTCCTTGTACCCTAGACGAGAACCTGATTGACGGAAGCATCGTCGTTCTGTTGCGCAGAGGAAGTCCAATACTGAACCAACTCAACAAATTCATCAGGCTAAGCCAGGAAGGAGGACTCGTGGATAGATACTGGGCAGAATTAAATTCTGACGCACTTCTGAAGAGGATACCGGAATCTGACAAAGACGGCAGCACCGGATACTTCGTATTCTCAGTTTCTCACACTGGACCAGCATTTGCTCTGCTTCTTTGCGGCCATGCGCTCAGCCTTCTCGTCTGCCTTGCCGAATGCGTTTACAGGCGCATCAAACAACGCTGGAGCAAGGAAAACACAGGGCGACGGCGGTCGTCGAACTTGCAATAAAAACCCTTGAAGTCTGAACGCGGGTTTTGGATTTGTCCACAATGGAAAGAATATAACATTTTGTAACAAGTTGCTTTTTTACAGAGTGGGGTTGTCAGCCCCACGTCCAACCCCCAACCTGGAGGACCAGACCTCTGTATTTACAGCCCCCGGAGGTAGGGTGGCCCAGCTATACCCCCAGGCACTGGGCAGATCGGGTACCTCGGGGGTACCAGTCCCCCGTATCCACTGATGTCGGTCCCTGAGGGGGGATATATATAGGTATGCAAATACCTACATTCTATTTATCATAAATTTACGAAACAAGACTGGTGAGATAATTTTTAATTAATTATCCATTTAAATTAATGTACTAAACTCAGTGTGTATGTGTGCTTGTTTCAAATGTAGGGCACATTCTTCGTGTTGTGATTAATCAACTGCACCAGCTATTGAGTAGAACACAAGCTTGAAGGATCTTATTAAACACACTTACCTGTCCTGAACAATAAATGTTTCTGAAACGATAAACATTTCACATTTATTCTTGAAAGGGGAAGAGGGCCCATACAAAGGTCTTTACCAGCACACACGGACCTTGCTGATGATGGGGGCATAGGTAATTTCTACTAGACTACATGGTGCAACAACCCAGAATAAAGCCATCTTCAAGGAGACTTCTATACTTAGCGACCTATATTTACAACACACAAAATATATAATATGAACGCGAAATTACGGTATACAAAATTCGTGTCAACACATTGCTACAGTGACTCAGCATGGAAATGTCGTAAATAATTCAACGTTTTTTTTAATTGACGAAATCCAACGAGTTTATTGTAATATTTTGTAAGGCGTATCTACTGAATATTAAAACAGATTACCCAGAAACATTTATATCAGATACAACAGGCTAATAAGCGTAACCCTGTCAAATGACTGCTTTATAAGCACGTAGTAAGTGCCAGGATACGGCGTGTTACATATCCGATATCGAAATTCCCCACGTGCGTGACAACACTGCCATGATCCAATCGATCACCATGAAATTGTACTTTGACATGCAAGGTCAGGATAATTTGTCCCTGTACTGTTCTATTAACCCTCTGACGCCCAGCGGTAAACATGTGTCCAATCTCCTTTAACAATCTGTAACTCTTCATTTTGTATTAATAGACTTCATAAGATTCTCAAAGTAAACAGCGATCATTTCCTTAAACAGCGTTAACCAGTCGATCTTTGTAATGGTGAAGTGTTGTGTTTTCTTCGCGGTACGGACTGAATTCTTAAATAGGATTTGATTATTCTTTATTTTTATCTGCTGGGCTGCTAGCTATTAGTCAGAAAATCTAACAGTCTGTAACGGAATGAACAGGGGTAGTTCATAAAGACATGTAGGACGAAGGACACCCAATCCCTTCTGAATTTGCACAACAGCGAGACGAACATAGCGTTAAGAAGGACAAGAGACGTTAATGATCCAGTATGAAACACATGGTCTTCTCTTTTCCGCCTATAAATTAAACAATGCTCTAGTGTGCCTTAAAGCAACGCTAAATCTCTTGGGCTAGACGATGCGGTGATTTCTGACATTGTGATAGGTACACTAACTACCAAAGTTTCACCTGACAATTTCATAATCCTGTTGTGACAGACATCACGCGGTTGTGTTCGGCTAATCGGTGATGAAGACAATCCAAAAATTCTGCCACATTCCAGACCTCGTCCCAATGTTTCCACAAAGGGCCAGCTGTATCCATTGCAGCCTCTTTTCTGAAGATGCCAAACATGTGGAATCTCAAAAACTTACTTTCCTCCTGAGCGATTTTTTTATGAGCACTGTGTTCCATGCATTTTATTTTATTTTTATCTCGTTAAACTGAGATATAGAAACTCATTCCAGCCTGGTTTATGGACACAACAAAGCTCCCTCGAAAGAGGCAGAAATATAAGAAGAAACCCCTGGAACGCATTGCGACCGAATCAGACTTGTGCACAGTAAAATTAGTGAAACTACAACCAAACACGTAGCCTGTTAAAATTAAAGTAACAAATATATAAAAATGTATTTTATTATAACTATTTAGACCTGGGCTTACTTTGCTTTGTGCTGTTTTCCTTATATCCTGTACTTCTCATGCTTTTTTGAGCTCCATTATAAATATGATTGGATCCAGCGGAATACAATCAAATATCATAACATTTCCGATTCTTCGATATTCGTATTCTGTAGCAGCATTTTTGGGACACAGGAAAACAAAACCAGGGAAAAGTTAACAGGAAATATAAGAGAGTGTGTTATGAATACGACATACATCGGAGCTTAAAGTGTTGAAAGCGATATGAAAGGTCAGATCATAAGATAACATTGACACGCAGCGAGATACTAAAATTATATCGAACGCACAGAACGATGTGAAATCTGTGCCGCGGTGGTTTAAATCAGGCACTCTCTTGTGTGAAGTTCGTACCTAAACTTTCATTACCCATGTAAAGTTACTGCAACCAGCACAGCAACAAGTGGCTACATTTGCCGTCATTCTTTATCACACGCGGCGTAAAGACGGTAAGCAGAATAAAACTTAAGTACCAGCTAAATGTGGATAATGAAAAACTATTTTTCGAGGAACACGCAACATAAAGGAAACTAGAAATTCCTGGTAATAAATTGCTTCTTTACCTCCAGGATAAGCGATAAAAAGTTTTATAATGAGACGAGGATGTTATGTAAACGTAACTTCAAGTACTCTAACTCAGTCCCAAGCAACAGACAGACCATAGATGAATAATCAACCCTCCAAATTTTCTCTCACATTTAACACTTACGTATATAAGCACGTGTGTTTTGACGTCAGACCTAGTACATGCCAATGGCTACGGTGGTATCGCATTGGCGCTCTTCAGGACTTCTGGTGGCCATTGAAAATAACAGCAAAAGAGAAAGAAACCAAACGAAGCAACTCCCATTCACATCCAAGAATTAACACATTACCACAACAACAACAACAACAACAACAAAAAGGGGGGGGGGGCAAAAGCAAAAGCAAAAGCACCGCCTAACATGCCGTCGGTCCTACAGGCTTACTACTATAAACAGACACGCCATGTTTACTCGCTGGCATTACGAAATGTATTCACAAACACGATCGCAGATAAGGTAACTTGCGACACAAGTATCTCCCTCAAACCTCAGTTATAGGTCGGCGGTTTCAATTCGTTTCGGCCAGTATTACTTACAGCGCGATAGTTCTGGGTACGTAGTGGTCGTTGCTAATTTTTACCTCACGTGAATATTAGCTCTGCAATCGATTTTAGATGCTTACAATTCAATCAAAGCGGAACTTCAATCAAAGTGAGATACGATGTTAATATCAATCAGACAAATGATAAATCCAAACGACAAACAATCAAATTCAACGGCCAGAAAGTCACACGATTCATCCGCCCCAGACATTCATCGCTCGCTGAACTTCAGTGAATGTCGAGAGAAATGTAAATGATTAGAAATTTAAACCAGTTCTTTCTCTTCTGAACATGGCGTGATTTCGCAAACAGGACGTCAAATACAATCTGCAAATCAACAATTGTACTATCATCTTTCGACGCTTATCAACACATTTTCAGTGAAGAAGGAAAAACACGTGTTGATTCCTCTCAGTCGCCTTAACACACTTCACACATTATCACCACGAACTACATGTTTTGGTCCATTGTTACCATCGCCACTCTCGAATAAACGTTCGAAGACTTTGCACAGGGACAATTACATATTCCTATCTTTTGTTTAAAAAGTTAAGATGTCATCGCAGCTTGGTGTGTGTACGTATGTCTGTGTTCTGAGCCGTGTGCCTGTGTATCGCTGTAAAACGATCTAAGTTCTAAGGCCACTTTAACACGGTTAAAGAATGTTACATGACTACCTAAGTATACAACACAGAAGTGAATTTCAAATTTTAACAAAGTATCATTTAAATAGTATTAAAAATATATTAAAATTAGCCGTCAATCACAATATAATATAATTAAAGGATTAAACTATCATTTTACGTTCCCTATCGAGTACTCGATTTACATGTGGAATATACACGACATGTTTCGGCTATATATAGCCATCATCTGGTGTTATGTATATAAA